CACACCACGGAGGAGTGCAAAGGCCTTAAAGAGGAGATCGAGGCACTTATAAAGCTCGGCCGGCCTTACCTCCTAATCAGTGGCACCGACCAGGTTTGCCTTGGCAGAAGGAAACGCCTGCCCAACCTGCGGCCAAGGCGGGGGGGGGGGGGGGGGGAGGGGGGGGATAAGGGCAAGCAGCCCATGCAGGAGGAGGATATGGACAAGAATTGGAAGTACAAGTCTATAATCAATATGATCTTAGGGGTTCACGAAGGCGGCGATACGGCAAGGGTCCGGAAGGCTTGGGCTAGGAAACTATATGTAGGGGCTATAGCCTTCCAGGAGTCGGATCGAAAGAAAGCTTGCAGGGAGCCGATCGTCTTCGCAGACGATGACTTGCCCAGGGTTCCGATCCCTCATCGCGACGCTCTGGTCGTCAACGTGGATATCCAAGGGTCGGTCACTTGCCGAGTACAGGTAGACACTGGGAACAGCGTTAACGTGTTGTACTTAGAAGCATATAAGAAGTTGGGCTTGCCCCTGGAGCGTTTGCGGCCAGTTAAGACCCCCCTGGCCAGATTCACTAGTGACGCAATTGATGCCGAGGGCTGCACTTCGTTGATAGTGGAAGTGGGCACCTGGCCCTATGTGAGAAAGTTAGAGATGGAATTTGTAGTGGTCGCCCTGGAATGTGCACACAACGTGTTACTAAGCCGGCCAGGTTTGGAGGACTTGGGAGCCCTGATCTCCGTCGAGCATCTATGTATGAAATTTCGCACACCGACCAGCGTCGGGATTGTGCGGTGCGACCAGAAGATGGATCGAAGTTGCTATTTGTAGGCCTGCCGAATGGTTGAGAAAGGTTCTCACCGGGTTAATACGATCGCTCACCAATTGGCTGAGCGACTGATATAGTGCCCGATCCCCGCTATCGAGCTGGAAGAAATCATCTTGGAACCCGACCGACTAGAGAGGAAGGTTTGGATCGGAGTAGGCTTACCCGTACCGGTGAATCAAGCAGTCATCGGCGTGTTGAGAAGCTATAAAGAGATATTCACTTGGGGACCCGAGCACATGCCAGGGGTTAACCGATTAATCATAACACATAGGTTGGCGGTCGATCCTAGCCTTAAGCCTGTGGCGCAGAAAATGAGGTATCTATCAAACGATTGTAGAGATTTCTTAAAACAAGAGGTGGACACCTTGCTGGCTGCGGGGCATGTCCGAGAAGTTAAGTATCCTGCCTGGCTGGCCAACATTGTGTTTGTGCCCTAGTCGCCGGCGTGGAGGATGTGTGTGGATTACACCGATTTCAATAAGGAGTGCTCTATTGACACGGCTGGGTGCGCCCTTCTTAGTTTCATTCACGCCTTCCAGGATACCATTAGATATTCATGCATGAGTAGGATGAGGAAAAGACCGCTTTCATTACTCCTAATGTGGTATATTGCTACAAGGTGATGCCATACGACCTCAAAAATGTTGGGGCCACATACACTAGAATAGTCACCCGACTATTCAAAGGGTTAATCGACAAATCCATGGCTGCCTACGTCGACAATATGCTGGTTAAGAGCAAGGGAGAAAGTGACCACGCCAATGACCTAGCTGATTGTTTTGAGGTCATGAGAAAATTTAACTTGAGGCTGAATCCTAACAAGTGCGTGTTCGCGGTCAGAGGAGGAAAATTCTTGGGCTACATGGTTACTCGACAGGGAATTGAGCCGAATCCGGAAAAGCTGCAAGCCATTCTAGATATGCAACCTCCCAACAACCTCAAGGAGATGCAACGCCTGACTAGCCAGATGGCTACTCTCAGCCGCTTCCTGTCTAGTGGACTGGTGAATGCCAGGCTGTCTTTGAAGATTTGAAGAGGTACATCTTGACCCCGCCTCTTTTATTTAAGCCCAAAGAGGGCGAAGTTTGGCTATTATACCTGGCTGCCTCCTAGAAGGCGGTTGGATCAGTCTTGGTGCGTGAAAAGGACAAAGTCCAGCTACCCATGTACTACGTGGGGCGGACATTAAAGGGTGCGGGGATCAACTACTCCCCCCTGCAGAAGGTCGCTATTACCCTGGTCACCACCGTCAGAAAATTGGTGCATTACTTTCTGGCCCATCAAGTCAGGGTACTGATAGACCTGCCGTTATCTAGCGTGCTGCGCAGTCCGTCTTCATCCGGACGACTACTAAATTGGGCCATGGAGCTCACCTAGTATGTGATTGACTACACCCGGACCCCCAGGACGTCCATTAAGGCCCAAGCCTTAGCTGATTTCATAGTGGAATCTTCTGCACGTCCGGAGGAAATCCTACCGACCGAGGAACCAAAGGAGGCTGAATGGTGGGAGATACATACTAACGACGCGGCCAGCACTCGGCACTGTGGAGGCAGAATAATGATCACAACTCCTGAGGCCTTCCATCTGTATTACGCACTACAATATCAGTTTCGGACCTTGAACAACGAGGTGCAATATGAGGCAGTCATCGGGGGGCTACGCCTTGCTATAGCACTTAAGGCTGCCCGAGTTCGAGTAAAGACCGATTCCCGCCTAGTAGTCAGCCAACTGAAGGCCGAGTGCGAAACAAAGGAAGAAAGGTTAAAGCTCTATAATGACATGACCAAGGGAATAATGGAGTAGTTGGCTGCCTATGAAATCATCCATGTTCCCCGAGCGGAGAATGTAGAGGCGGATATCCTGTCAATGCTAGCTTTGGGGGGCGTGCCTCCGCATCTATCGCTGGCTTGTCGCGCCGAGGTCGTGGAACGACCGAGTACGGAGATACCCTCGGTCTGCACAGTCACCCGGATGCATGCCCCACATCTAGGCCTTAAGAGTCAGCCAGAGTGGTTCTGGATTGCGGATATCATAAGGTATAAACAGGAGTCTGAACTTCCCGACAAGAAGTACGACGCTGACTGCGTGAGAAGAAGGGCTCCTTCCTTTGAGATTGTGGATGGGCAGCTGTATAAACGATCCTTCGGGTGTCTACTGTTATATTGTCAACTCCCCGACGAGGCCAAAATCGTGTCGATGGAGGCTCATCGAGTGACCTGTGCGGCCCATCATGGGGCCAATACTTTAGCCCGAAAGCTCATTACTAAGGGGTTTTATTGGCACACCATGGTGAGGGACTGCATAGATGAAGTAAGGAAATGGCCGACTTGTCAAGCATTTGCCAAGAAGGATGCCTGACCGGCTATCTTTTACACTTTGGTCACCACCACAATTCCCTTTGCCAAGTGGGTGATCGATCTACTCAGACGGCTACCCTAGGCGCTTGGCCGAGTACGTTTTTGCATAGCAACAATGAATTACTTTACTAAATGGGCAGGTGAAGGGTCCTGCGGCACCACCAAATGTGTTTACATGTTGAGATAGTGATGGAAGACTGATATGATTGATGTGAAATAATCTGGTGACCTTAGGGTGCATGCTAGTATCTTTATATGCGTAATTACATCTGATGAATGTGTCTACCTTGCTTACTTGAATCTATTCTCGGTTTTAAAGTAGAGTTTCCTAAGTATATATGTATTCCGGCTTCAAAATGGTTTTCCTTATATATATATTTACCTATATTATATTTTAACGCGTTGGAGTGGGTTACCAGCATTATTTGCTGAACAGATATATTTGGCTTTCAGGCACAGATGAGTAGCTCCGGAGCGCGCTAGAGGACCCGAGGCTTAGCTAGTTAGTTCGTTATCGGCCTGCGTGCCATGATGATGTACTTAACATTGATTTGAGGATTTATGATGTTTAGATAGTTTAGCATGTGCGTCTGAGTTCCCCAGCTCAGAAGTGGGATAGCACCCCAACAATTATGTTTAGTTATGCTCTGTTTTGAGATTTAATGATAGTATTACCTTTATTTCATAAGCATTCAAAGTTTTAAATTTTAGGGGTGTTACAGGGTTACCTCGTCAGGCAGTCAGTGCGTCCAGAGGCGTTTAATGACGGATTCTGCGGAGATTCCTTTCCTTTTCCAGCGAGTAACTTCCTTTCTCAGTTTAAGCAGTTATTGCATTAATTATAGTAGATTCCATAGCCGATTGGACTCCACCTTTACCCTACTTTCCTTATAGGAAGCTAATCCCTTTTTGTATAAATACCCCCACAAGATCACTGTGAGGGGGACAGATTTTTCCCACTCAATAAAATTCCATTACGCTATCAAATTCTTTTTAAGTTATTTATTCTCTCTAACTCATCCCTCACAAACCCTAGTATTTTACGGTAGTGTTGGCCCACCGAATGGCTTCCTCTAGTCCGTAAAACCAACCTATAGTTTTCGTGAAATCAATGTATGGTTGTTATGTACCTTGAAACTTCTTGTATTCACTACTTTCGAAATTCCTCAAAAATGATTTTGTGACAAGTGTTTATGTTCGTCAAAAATTTAGTTTACAAACCCCAAAATGTGATTTGTATGGTATCTATATATGTTATATGTTTTGGAAAGTTACGTATTTTGGAGAAATTGTGTGTATTGTATAGGATTTGATTCCAATAGTAGTATAACAAAAATTGGCATACAAACATGGTAATTGGTCATGTGATTTTGAGTTGCAGATCTCTTTTATCTTCGTTTAATAATGTTAGTGTTGTTTTTGCTGGTAAACTTGCGAATCTTTTGGCTCATAAGTTAGCCCGGGCCACTGATTCATTCATTGATTGATATATCTTTCGGGGTTTGCCTTTCAAAAAAAAAAAAATTAATACCCTTAAATTGTGTCCACATTTTTATATATGTTTGTGGAGTTCATTCTACACTGTGCTACAAATATTGTATTATCAAAATTTATGGACAAAAAATTGTGTGCCACATGGGCTTAATTCATTTTTTTTTTTTTTAAATTTTCTCATTTGTAGTAATCATCAACTAGTGTGGTACGGAGTATTTGAAGAAGTTGAATGGTTTTCTAAAAAAATGAATGGAAAAATCAACTGTTGCAGTGGGCAGTAGGTTAAGAAACTGAAACATACAACATGTTAATACATACAGATGTAATTAGTAACAACGAACCAAATCCAAACAACATCAGAGGAGCTTCATTGCTAGCTACCGAAGCAAACAAACTCCTCCATGTTTGGATTATATTATTATTTCAGACCTTTATTTATTTAGCTATATATGGATCACATTATTATTATTTATTAAAACAAACACTGAAGTTGAAGGAAGCAATATTATTATACATATATAAGGTATTTAGCAACGCGGCCGAGCCTTCATGCCTTCATGCAGTTGCAGACTTTGCTGAAGAAGGGAAAATAAGTGTCGCACATTCCGAAGGTGAATCCCATAGACTTGCAAAAGTTAACGCAGTGGCGTGTGTCATATGGGGTTTCCCGACCACGTATTTTCTGGGACTCATCGAGTATTTTCTGGGACTCGCAGCCATTATTCCCCTCTCTGCAGAATTAGAATTAACACTCAGAAGAAGAAGAAGAAGGGGTATTTTACTTATTTCTATAAAATACCACGATGGATCGATATATATGGCTTCGAAAAAATTCATCCCATACCATATATGTTAAAAAGACCAGAAGAAATATATAATAATAACGGAGAAATTAAAGCTAAGGGAGAGAGCAAACCAGAGGCCATGAGGAGCATCAACAAGAGTGAGGCAGTTGCAAACAAACGAACAGAGGAAGAAAAAGCCATCTTTGTTAACTGAGAACAAAAGAAGGTGTTAGGTTAGGCGAAATGGGAATGCTGTCAGTGTTTCAATGAGTGAAGTCCTTTTTATAAGTCACAATTT